ACCCCCAAGGTAAGAAGGGCATGATGGGAAGAGCTAGTTAAATGAAACCAGGTGCTAACGTGGAAACTATGCAGCCAGGCCCCAGCCTCGCTCCGGTGCCGCGGGAGTTAGTCACTCAGAGCCTGCCTTACTTGGCCCCTGGGAGGGGCAGGGCAAAACCAGGCCACAGCTCTCTCTTCCTCCTTCCTCCTCCTCCCGCTTTTCTTTGTGTTCTCTCTCTTGATTTCCTTTTATTATTTTACTTACGTGTCTGTGTGTATGCCACATGTAAACAGGTGTCACAGAGTCCAGAGGAGAGTGTTGGATCCCTGAAGCAGTTGTGAACCATGTAGCATGGGTACTGGGGACCAAACTGGGGTCCTTTGGAAGAACATTAGACACTCGTAATGTCTGATGACCGGAATGTAACATTTTTGATGAGCCATCTCTCTAGCAACCTCTGCCCTTTTCTTTTTTCTCTTTGTCTTTACTCTCTTCTTTTTCCTCTACCCTGAACTGTCCTTCTGCCCCAGTTTCTGTAAGAGCCGTTCTCTGGCTGTGTCAAGGCTCAAGGCCCTTGCATGTGGTAGCAGCAGTATTTAGGTCAGGGCCCAGAGTAGATGGGGACCCAGAGCAGGTGGGTCTAGAGAAGGTGGGTCCAGAGAGGTGAGCAGAGTAGATGGGGCCCAGAACAGGTGGGTCTAGAGCAGGTGGGTCCAGAGTAGATGGGGGCCCAGAGCAGGTGGGTCCAGAGCAGGTGAACTCAGAGCAGTGGGCCCAGAGCAGGTGGTCCCCAGCAGGTGAACTCATCCAGAACAGGTGGGCCCAGAGCAGGTGAACTCAGAGCAGATGGGTCCAGAGCAGATGAACTCAGAGCAGGTGGGTCCAGAGCAGATGAACTCAGAGCAAGTGGGTCCAGAGCAGGTGGCCCAGAGCAGGTGGGCCCAGAACAGGTGGCCCAGAGCAGGTGGGCCCAGAACAGGTGGCCCAGAGCAGGTGGGTCCAGAGCAGATCAACTCAGAGCAGGTGGGTCCAGAACAGATGAACTCAGAGCAGGTGGGTCCAGAGCAGATGAACTCAGAGCAGGTGGGTCCAGAGCAGGTGAACTCAGAGCAAGTGGGTCCAGAGCAGATGAACTCAGAGCAGGTGGGTCCAGAGCAGATGAACTCAGAGCAGTGGGCCCAGAGCAGGTGGCCCAGAGCAGGTGGGCCCAGAACAGGTGGCCCAGAGCAGGTGGGCCCAGAACAGGTGGCCCAGAGCAGGTGGGTCCAGAGCAGATCAACTCAGAGCAGGTGGGTCCAGAACAGATGAACTCAGAGCAGGTGGGTCCAGAGCAGATGAACTCAGAGCAGGTGGGTCCAGAGCAGATGAACTCAGAGCAAGTGGGTCCAGAGCAGATGAACTCAGAGCAGGTGGGTCCAGAGCAGATGAACTCAGAGCAGGTGGGTCCAGAGCAGATGAACTCAGAGCAGTGGGCCCAGAGCAGGTGGCCCAGAGCAGGTGGGCCCAGAACAGGTGGCCCAGAGCAGGTGGGTCCAGAGCAGATCAACTCAGAGCAGGTGGGTCCAGAACAGATGAACTCAGAGCAGGTGGGTCCAGAGCAGGTGAACTCAGAGCAGGTGGGTCCAGAGCAGATGAACTCAGAGCAGGTGGGTCCAGAGCAGATGAACTCAGAGCATTGGGCCCAGAGCAGGTGGCCCAGAGCAGGTGGCCCAGAGCAGGTGGGTCCAGAACAGGTGGCCCAGAGCAGGTGGGTCCAGGCCCTGGGCTGAAGCAAATAGTGGAGTCTGTGTTGGAATTCTGGTTGTGTACATCAGTTGTGAGACTTCTGAAAAGCACTCTGTGCCTTGACACAAACTGTGTGACAAACTGTGTGAGCTTCAACTGATGATAGCTTAGTATCCACGAGCCTCTGTTTCAACATCCGAAAAATGGGGTTAACATCTCACTTGTTTGGAGCTTTGGCAGAGGTGAGTGTCACTTGAGTGACAAGTGCTTGCTTGGTACTTGGTAGGTGTCTAAGTGACTATTCTACTGCTGTGAAGAGACACCAGGACCAAGGGAACTTAGAGAGGAGAGAGTTTATTGGGCTTGCTGTTTCAGAGGGGGAGAGTCCATAGCAATCATGGTGGGGAGCATGGCAGTAGGCCAGCGGGCATGACACTGGAGCAGGAGCTGAGAGCTTTGTTAAGACAACAGCTAACTGGGATGGCGTGGGCACCTCCTCCAACATAGCCACACTTTCTGATCCTTCCCAAATAGTTCTATCAACTGGGGACCAAGTATTCAAATCTAAGAGCCTGTGGGGCCATGCTCACTCCACTACGGTAGACGCTAGATTCTGTCAGCAGAGCGCATTATCCTTCCTGCTCTGGGGTCTTGGTCAGTCCCCACACCATTCTGAAGCACTTTCTGCTGTCATCCCTGGTGCCAGTCTCCTGAACTAGTCCAGGGGCCGGAAGGTGAAGATGCTAAGTCCCAGGTTACAAACAGAAGGAGGAGGGCATGATGCTTCCAGAGATGACTTCTCTTGGTTTTGCTTCTTGAGGGAAGGACGGCTTGAGCATCTCATCTTCCTGTCTGCATCTCCCAAGTGCTAAGATCACCAATGCAATCTGCCCCCTGTACAAGTTTACAACTTCTTTTTGTTGTCAAATATTGATTTTTATTATGTGTAGTGTGCATGTGTGTGTGTGTGTGTGTGTGTGTGTTTACATGTGTGTGAAGGTGCGTGTGGAGGCCAGAAAAAGGTGTCATAGAATCCTCTGGAGTTGGAGTTACAGATGGCTGTGAGCTGTCGGTAACAGAACTTGGATCCTCTGGAAGAGCAGCAAGTGCTCTTAACCATGAAGCCATCTCTTCAGGCCCAACTTAGAACTTTTTAGAATTGTGTGTATCTACCTTAGTTCGTCCTAGAAAAGGACAGCATCTTGGGAGTGTGAGCGGGTCCAGGTCGAGCTGCTCACTACGGAGCAGGAGAGTTCTGTCATGAGGCAAGATGCTGAGGGACAGAAGATGTTTTTATTTATGTAGCTAGCTCAAGGAGAAGACAGGACTCATGTCCAAATTTCATCCTGTTGGGAGACTGGTTTATATAAGTGGTTGGTGAGTGCCTTACTCAGTGGGGGATGGGGCATTGCCTTCTCATGGTGGGCTGGCCAGCCCTCATCCATAGTCATACCTGGGTACTTTTCAGTTCTGCTGACATTAAGGCTCTTTGTGCCTCTGATCGAATTGCCAGCATGCAGTTCCCAACATAGTCCACAATAGATGGTGGGGCCCAGAGAGATTCTCTCTCTGGTCAAAGTTAAGAACATGAAAAAAAATAACCTTAGAATGACTATGGGAGCCAAGGCTAAGTGAGGTAATGGGGGTCTGTCCAAGGTCCAGTGTGGTGCTCAGCGTTGGGGGTGGCATATGATGGGGTGGGAGCCGTGGCAGGTGTGGGACAGCATTCCCTGGAGAGGAAGGTAGTCAAGAGAGCTACCTGCAAGGGGAAGACGGGAAGAATTTAAAAAATGAGGACGGGGCCTGGGAAACAGTTTGTAAATCAGATACAAAGCGTTCCCTCCTGACTTGAGCACGGACTTCTGTAGGGGGCTCCACCTTCCCTAACTCCATCGTCAGGGCTTCTTTTCTGAGCCCAGAGACTGGGCAGAGAGAAATGGTTGGTGGTTGAAGCCCCAGAGACAGAATCCAAGTGACCTGATGCACCCTCGTGGGTGGTCACCTGCAGGCAGCCCAGGCTTTGGACTGGACTGTCATGACTGAAAAATCTGTAAGAAAAAAGGAACTTGGGTGGTAGAGATAGGGGGATCAGGAATTCAAGGCCACCTTTAGGCCACCCCATTGAGTTTGAGGCCAGTCTGGGCTACATGAGAACACAATTCAAAAAGCAAACCCAAAACCAAATCAATAATCAAACACATAAATAAATAAAATGGACACCTGTTTCCTGGGATTTCAAGGAGCAAGGCAGTTCCATCATAGGAGAGTCAAGAAGGGTGATAACAGGGATAAAGAAATGTCAGTGCAGGGCCTGGAGAGATGGCTCAGGGGTTAAGAGCATTGCCTACTCTTCCAAAGGTTCTGAGTTCAATTCCCCAGCAACCACATGGTGCCTCACAACTATCTGTAATAAGGTCTGGTGCCCTCTTCTGGCCTGCAGGCATACATGTAGACAGAATATTGTATACAAAATAAATAAATAAATATTTAAAAGAAAAGAAATGTCAGTGCAGTGTGACCCCCATGGCAATGGGGTACCCTTAGATTGGGGTGGGCAGACCCCAATCAAATAAAAGCAAGGTGAGGGAGAGGTAGGCGTAGGTAGGAACGACACACCCTTGGTAATAATGAGAGATTCTAAAACAGAACTGGGCCAGCGGCTTGGAAGGTGGACTGCCCTATATAGAATTCAGTTAAGGTGAACCTACATTTACCGAGCACACTTTAAATGCTTTGGTCTGGAGCAAAGAAACAGGATTTTCGAGGCTTCTATGTCATGGGTAAGGGATCTTCCTACCGACAGTAAGCAAGCGAGCTTTGCTGGCCTGCTCTGATGGAACCCCTTAATGATTTGGAAGGACAGGTGTGATCTGGGTGACAGGTAGCCCAATGTGGCAGAACACAGGTGGGTAGAGGGACAGGAAGGCTGGAGAGCTGGCGCCACATCTCTGTTGAACCTCTTGCATTCTAGGCTTGAAGGTTTGGGATTTGTTTTCCAGGTAGTAGACACAAAAGATGTGAACAGCTGGGTTATGTGGCTGTTAATACAGAAAGTGAACTCTGGGGCTGGAGAGATGGCTCAGCGGTTAAGAGCATTGCCTGCTCTTCCAAAGGTCCTGAGTTCAATTCCCAGCAACCACATGGTGGCTGACAACCATCTGTAATGAGGTCTGGTGCCCTCTTCTGGTCTGCACACAGACAGAATATTGTATGCATAATAAATAAATAAATATTTAAAAAAAAAAGAAAGTGAACTCTGGAGCAACTCAAGAAGACAAGAAGTTGAAGGGAGAATGACCGAAGTGGATGCTGGGCTGAGCCTTCAGGAGGATGAGGATGAAGGTTGATAGTATGAGGAGCCGGGGAGCACATCTCCAGAGGCCGTGGGGAGGAGTGACGATTGACTATAGGAGTGAGAGGCACTGAAGCCAGCATCTGGGTTCCCAGTCTTCTGACCTGGCAGGTATCTCTGACAGTTAGGCAGACGTCCACAGGAGCAAGGACCAGGTGAGGGGACTTGAGGGCTTTCCCCTGCTCTAGAGGTTCTGGTACATGGCCAGCAGAACTGTGTTCCAGGGTGGCTCTGGGATCTCTGCAAGGGGCCCATTCTCCTTCTTGTCCTGGCTTTAGCAAATCAAAGTCCGAGTCCCCTGTTTTCAGGCCTGCCAACTTTCTCCTTCATTCTCTCTCCTCAGGACTCACAAAAATCCTCAATCCCCAGCCATGGGCAAAAGATGCCATCAGGCAAAAAGGTGAAGAAGGCGTCATCACCGCCCTTGTCACAGACGTGGAAACGAGACCAGGAGCAATCTCTGGCGGCAGCCTTTGTACCTGTAGTGGTGGATCCTCGGGGGCAGAACCCGGATAAATGCAGGTTCAATTTCTACACCTCCCAGTATTCCAACTCTCTGAACCCCTTCTACACCTTGCAGAAGCCCACCTGTGGCTACCTGTACCGCAGGGAGACTGACCACACCCGCAAACGTTTTGACGTTCCTCCAGCAAATCTGATCTTGTGGCGCAAATAGGTCCATGACATCTGAAGTCCCCACCCTGCACCTTCATCTCCATGCTCCTGGGTCCCAGAGGGAAGGCCATTCGTTTCTGGAGGAGCAGGGCTTACCTGGGCTAGCCAGGTAACACCACCGTTGACAGCAGAGGAGGCTTCTCAACAACAATAAACTTTGACCTTCCTTTTCCTGGCCTCAATGGATAGGGTTGTTGATGGTGAGTGTATTCCAGGGGACAGGGGGCTGGAGAATTGGAAGGTTTTACTCTCAGTCCTCTCCCCACCCCAGGAGTATCCTTCTCCCAGGCCCAAGTGTCAGTCGCTTCTCCCCAGCATTCCCGTGGGTCACACTTGCGATGCCTCCAAAAACTGGCTGTATGCACCCTGCTTTCTCAGGTGTCATCTTACCCTGTGTTTACTCAGGGTCACGCAGTGCTCGACAAGGACGCTGCAAACTTAGCCACATTGCTAATTGTTTCTGGATTATCTTTAAGACAGCCCTGGCTGTCCTGGTACTCACTCAGTATACCAGGCTGGCCTCAGACTCACAGAGATGCACCTGCTTCTGTTTCCTAAATGCTGGGATTAAAGGCATGCCTACCACTGTCCCAGACTCCTTGTTTCTGGCTTTTTGAACCAAGATCTTTGCTGTGTAGAGCAGTCTGGCCTTAACCTCACTGTGTAGACCAGGCTGGCCTTGACCTCACTGTGTAGACCAGGCTGGCCTTAACCTCACCTGTAGCTTAGGCTGACCTTGAACTCATAGTCTTCCTGTCCCAAGTGCTGGAATTACAGAAATGTACCTCCATCCTGGGCTTCTGACTCATGGCTTTTGCTGGGGGTTGAATCCCCCATTTCTATTCTCTCATATGGTTCAGAACAGGTAAGTATAAGACTTGCAAGGTTTTTGTTTGGGGGGGGTGTCCTAGAACTCAGTCTGTAAACCAGGCTGGCCTTGAACTCAGAGAGATCCACCTGCCTCTGCCTCCCAAGTGCCGGGATTAATGAGGTGTGCCACTACCATTCAGCTAAGACTTACAAGTCTTATGGGCCAATGGTCATGGAGGGGTGGGTGAAGGCAGAGGCCACTAAGCCTGTAGTGGAAGACCCTATCTCAAAAAAAAAAAAAGCAAAAAACCCAAAAGCATAAAGATAACAAAACCAAACCAACCAAATACACACGCACATACACACACACACGTTCTCTCTGTCTCTGTCTCTGTCTCTCTCTGTCTCTGTCTGTCTGTCTGTCTGTCTCTCTCTCTCTCTCTCTCTCTCTCTCTCACACACACACACACACACACACACACACACACACACACACGTACTCACGCATAGAACCAGACAGACACACACATCCACAGACACCCACAGAGCATCTAGGCAGTTCATTTCCTTTGCACCGACTTTTGTCCAATCTTATTATGACTCTCACATTGCATATCCCAGAATCGACTCCTAGACTGATGGAGGAAGGTCATTGGCTAATAAAGGAACAGCCTTGGCCCATTTTATTGGTTAGAAGATAGGTGGGAGGAGTAAACAGAACAGAACGCTGGGAGGAACAGGAAGTGAGCTCAGTCTCGACAGCTCTTCCCTCGGGAGCAGATGCCTGAGAGAGACGCCATGCCCCGCTCCCGGGATGAAGCTCCGACCCAGGATGGACTAGGCTAGAATCTTCCCGGTAAGCGCACCTTGGGGTGCTACACACAGATGATTAGAAATGGGCTAAATTAATATGTGAGAAAGAGCCTAGAAGAGAATGGGCCAAGCAGTGTTTAAATGAATACAGTTTGTGTGTTGTTATTTCAGGTAAAGCTAGCCGTGCGGGCTGCTGGGGTGCTGGGGATGCAGCCCCGCCACCCTAATTACTACAGATTGGCGCCCACGTGGACAACTGAATCCACAGAAAGCCTGAAAAAGCTTGGGAAAGAGTAAAGCATGTTTTCTTTTTCTTTTTTTTTTTAAATATTTATTTATTTATTATGTATACAATATTCTGTCTATATGCCTGAAGGCCAGAAGAGGGCGCCAGACCTCCTTACAGATGGTTGTGAGCCACCATGTGATTGCTGGGAATTGAACTCAGGACCTTTGGAAGAGCAGGCAATGCTCTTAACCACTGAGCCATCTCTCCAGCCCCAGCATGTTTTCTTGATAGTGACAATTTCTCGGATCTACTCTGCTTGCTAGAGGCAAGCAAGCGCCTCATTTAATAGAGGCTTCCTGACTCAGCTTTAGCTGCAAAACCCTGCAGCTCATTAAGAGGTTCTGCCACGAAACACTTAAATGGTGTTGACGAAAAGCTGAACGCATGCTTTTCGGTTTTCAGCTGTAGCAGGAAAAAAGCTGCGCCGTTTAAAAATGCCGGCTTTCTGGGCTGTCCTGCCAGGGCAAACTCTTGAGTCTTTTACGCAGGTGGTTCATGCGGTTTGCAAGCACAGGCTGCTGAATCTCGCTTGCTGGCAGGGACCTTGAAATGCCATAGAGTTGTTGCAGTAAACGTGGCTACAGCCAGTACCTCAGCCATGAGGCTGGAAAGCTAAGGAATGGACTACATCTAGCCGGCAAAGCCACGCCTTTAGTCCTACTGAGATTGCTTGGTAAATTAAAGACTCATGTGGTCAGAAAAACAGAGAGAGATACAGTAAAGAGAGATTCAAAGACAAAGAAAATTTTTAAATGGTTTACAGTGTGTTAAAAATATATGCAGACTAAAAGTTGAAGTTCTTAAAGTAAAAAACAAAAAAAAGTTAGAGAGTTGTTGTATGTGGTAGCACACGCCTTTAATCCCAGTGCCTAGAAGGCAGAGACAAACAGTTCTCTGTGAGTTCAAGGTGTAGTAGTGTGCACCTTTAATCCCGAATGCCTGGGAGGCAGAGACAGGCGGATCTCTGAGAGTTCAAAGACAGCCTGGTCTACAGAGTTACTTCAGGTCAAAGATACAGAGAACCTGTCTCAAAAAGCAAAAAGTTAAAAGTAAAAATAAACAAAATAGAGGTTAAAACAAAGCTGTACAAAGATGGAAAATAGACAGAGAATTTTGATACTGTATGCTATTATGCTCTCTTTGAATTGTTTAAATGCTGAGGAAGGAGAAACAGATGCTAAAAGATACTTGTTTATAAATGCTGCTGAACTAATCCAACATAGATATTTTGAATTTGGATCTAAGGATATGATACTTTGGAAAAGAGATTCTTCTTTTGTTTCACAGAGGATCAGACCTTGTGGATTGCATTTATCCCAATTTGGTATGATGGACCACGCCCTCCTGAAGGGTTGGTGTGAACACCTTCAGAAAATTGCTTCGCTCAACTGCCAACTGAGATGAAACTAGCACACAGGTTATACCATGAAAGGCCTAATTAACGACGTCCCCATTCAGCAGGAAGCAGTTTGGAGAGAAATAACTGCGCCCAAATTCCCAAAAAATGTTTATAAATGTTCTTTTACATTTAAAGGGGAATATGATATAGATATGAATAATTTACATTAGTATAGATTTTGCTTTATTGATAGAGATTTAAGGTCAATTTTGTTATATATATAAGTGTTTCTGATTTTGATTAAGGTATTTTGATTGTGTAGTTCATTTAAATATGTACTGTATAATTAAGAAATATAAGTTGTTAATGGTTAATCATCGATAATAGTAAAGCTTGTAGTCATGTTAGTTAGATTTTCTAGATATATAGAGATATATTTTAGATAGACATTCTTCATGTCTTTCAAAGATTACAGAATAGGACATTTAATGTTTTAATAACTGAGGACTTTTCATGACAATGAGACACTCTGCTCCTGGCAGCACCAATCTACTTCAAGAGGAAGATGGGCATCGAAGAGGCTCGTTATGGAGTTTGCTCTTGCCTGGACTATTGCATAAACTGGACACAGAGAACCCACAGAGAGAGGACTACTGAACTTGCCGAAGGTGAGATGATCTTTCGGGGTTCCTGATTCATGAAAGAGTCTGCGAGACATTCTGCAGGACACAACAGATAGTGACTGAACTGACTTTGAATCTTCCTGCTTTATGTAAATGTCTGCTGGATACCATGGTCCTGAAGGCTGAAGATGGATGCCCCAACGGTACAGAGGAACCTTGGATGACTGTCCAGGCAACAAGATGTCTCTGTCATTTCTAGAGTTTTAAAAGTTGCTTTTTTCTTGTTTGCTTAGGTAGTATTGTATCTTTCTGGAGTCTTTGATGGAGTTAAGAATAGTTAGTTATAGTTATAGTTTTCCTTAGTTATGATAAAGATTATTGTAACTTTTACTTGATAACTGTTTTGTTATATGTAATTTTGCTATGTTAAAGTTAAAGCCTTTTTTTGTTTAAACAGAAAAAGGGGAAATGATGGAGGAAGGTCATTGGCTAATAAAGGAACAGCCTTGGCCCATTTTATTGGTTAGAAGATAGGTGGGAGGAGTAAACAGAACAGAACGCTGGGAGGAACAGGAAGTGAGCTCAGTCTCGACAGCTCTTCTCTCGGGAGCAGACGCCTGAGAGAGACGCCATGCCCCACTCCCGGGATGAAGCTCCGACCCAGGATGGACATAGGCTAGAATCTTCCTGGTAAGCGCACCTTGGGGTGCCATACACAGATGATTAAAAATGGGCTAAATTAATATGTGAGAATTAGCCTAGAAGAGAATGGGCCAAGCAGTGTTTAAATGAATACAGTTTGTGTGTTGTTATTTCGGGTAAAGCTAGCCGTGCGGGCGGCTGGGGTGCTGGGGACGCAGCCCCGCCGCCCTAATTACTACACTAGACCTCTGTGGCAGATTAGGTTGGAGTTTGTACACCCCTGTGCTAGCCCAGCAGTCTTTTCCTCATTGAGGAAATGGAGGTTTCAACATTCTCCACTCTAATAAACCACTGTTTTTCCAGCTCCCCCGAACTTTCTGTCTGTCACATTTGTTTGAGGTGGGGTCCCATCTTGTAGCCCCAGCTGCCTGGATCTTGCTGTGGCCCATACTGGACTGGAACTTGCCTTCCTCCTGCCTCGGCTT